GGCTTCAGATCAGCTATTCAGGGGTACCCACAGAAGCCCAATTCAGGTTCCAGTCAGGTACACTCAGGCTTCCTTCATCATGTGGTGGCATGATCCGGGCTCTCTCAGGCAGTGCTGTGCATTGTCAACCCTATGCCAGAGGGAGGCCAGAGTGGGGGCCAGAACTCAGCACTCTCTGGCAGTCTGCTGAGATCCCATCCTTAGCCTACCAAATGGCCTTGGGAGGGGCCTCACAAAATCCCAGGTAGGGGGATGGTATGGCACAATTAGTGGAAGCTCACCATCTTGTGGAGGCAGGATCCAGGGGCTGTCAGGCTGTCCCCTGGGTTCTCAGGCCCTCTGGTAGTTGAAGGCCAGAACCCACCCTCTCAGGCTGTCTGCTAGGGTCTCCCAGCTGGCATCTTAATGTCAGGCCCTCCTCCTGCCGCACCATGGCCTCTCCAGCATTTATGGAGCGCCTGCTGTTTTTAAGGACTGCAATATCCATTGTCTGTGCCCTCAGTCTGCCTTGAGCTGCTTGAGAGGACTCAGACTGTCCTGAGTGAGGTAGCTCAGAGGCAGAGGCGAGGGTGGCATTGTCTGGCAAGTCCCGGGGTCCCTGGGATGTCACCAGTCAGGCCATACCACATCCCTGGCAGGTTTTCCTACAAGCCCCAGAGTTGCCCTGCCTTTACCCCTGATGGTCATGGCTGATCTGTAGGAATCTTATGCAAGGACAGGGGTCTTGGGAAGACAGAAGGACCCAGCTCTGTAATCTCAGAGGCTGCCTGGGCCCACTGAGCTGAGTAATTCCCACAGCCTGGGAACAGTCTCAGTCAGCCCCCACTGCCCCAGGCTCACTGCTCTTCCTCTTAGATGAGCATAGGCCAGGCCACGCTGCCCTGTGGAAGTGGCACGGCTGTACCTGGGCAGAAACTGGCGACCGGAATAAGGTGGGCCAGAGGGGTGGGTGCAGAAGGCCTGCATATATGGCCCATGAGCCCTGTTGGGACAGGGATTCTTTGGGCTGATGAGTATGTCTGGGTAAGGCTTCAGGGGTCACCCAGGACTCAGCACCCGCAGTGGGTCCCCTAGATCTGTGTACCCCACGTACTCTCCAGTTTCAGCCTCCCAGAGGGGCCCCTTCCTGGCCCTTATACTCCCTCTGCCTTTAGAGAAGCTGGCATCCCTCAAGTTGGAAGTGGAGGAGATTGCTCTGACCGCTGCCAGCCAGAGACGCAAGCTCAGGGTCATCCTGGAGGCCACCAACCACAGTCTGCAGGTGGATGAGCTGCAGGCCAAGTGGAGTGTGGAGGGTACGTGGGGCTGAGCCAGGGTGCGTACCTGGGAGGGCGGTTTCTGTGCTGGCTTCTCATTTACCTGAAAGGCATGCTCATTTCCCAAGAACCACTGGGGCTGGGAAGGACTCAGAGAACTTAGAAAGCTCAGAGAGCAAGTCTGAAGCTGGACGCAAAGTCAGGTATTTGGTGGAGGAGCAAACAGCCCCCACACATCTGGCCCTGAGGGCTTCAAGTGACCAGTGCTGCCTAAGGATAAGACTTACCAGTGATTTGGCCAGTGCTGAGTCTGAGAATCATACCACACCCCTCGGCCTGGTCAGATGGTGCTCACAGCCCCACTTCAGTAATCACCAATCATTAACCAGTGAGTATGTCGTGCGCACACTTTCACCAACCCTGCTATCAGTTTGGTAAGGATTACAAGCTAGGCCTGGAGGTGCATGGGAAGCTGAGGCATGAGGATTGTAAGTTTAAGCCTAGCCTGGGCTACAGAATGAGTTTAAGGCCAGCCTAAGTAACTTAGTAAGACACTGTCTCAAAATTAAAAAGTGAGAAGTGAACTGGGATTGTAATTCAGTGGTGCAGTGTTTGGCTAGTTTGTGTGGAGGCCCTGGGGTCCATCTCCAGAACAACAAACACACATGCATATAGACACACACACATGCATACATGTGCACACACACACACACACATGCACGCCCTGGGGTTGATCCCCGGTACAACACATACGTGCACTACACATGTGCACAAACATGAGCACTCTGTGTTCACTGGTGTCGATTCCCAGTACAACACGTGCCATACACATACACACATGTGCACACACTCATGCATGCACACACTCACAGATTTGCTTGTGCTCAGTTCTCCGTCCTCCAGTGTTCTGGAGAAGACCGAGGCAGGGAGGCGTCAGGGAGCACTCTTTGGGTGGGTGGGAATGATGTTAAAAATCATTTTCTGAATCCCCACTATTCAGCCCCTCATCCGTGAATGGTTATGACACTGGCCTTGCAAGTCACAGCCAGCATGACTGTCATGATTGTTCACTGACGCCCACCAGGGGACAGCTCACCGTTCCCAGTGTAAACAAGGCTGAAGTGAGCATCTTTGTGTCTAAAGTCCCAACCACAGATTTCAGCATGGTGGGTGCCTTTTCCTCCTGAGCATGGCTCCATTCTCTGCTCCCAGGTCAAGGTCAGTGGTGGGGACGGGGTCACTGTGCAGCCTCAGGAGTGCGGAGTGAGTCAGGCCGTTCGGTGCTCGCCTCTCACCTCGTGCCCTGCTTTGCTTTGTGCTCACTGCCTGGGCAACCGGAGCTGCAAACATTGTCAAAATCGAAATGGAGTTGTGTCAACCCTAAACCAAAAAATTATCTAGCCTAAGAGCTAGAAGCTGGCCACCAAACTTGTGGTCTGTACAGGGCAGTGCTGAGCGTGGCCATAGGTTGTGATGTCCACTCAGCTCTGACCTGCTGACTTCTCCCCTCCAGCCATCTTCAACAAGGACCTGCTGGCCACTTTGCACCTCCTTGTGGCCCTGGCCAGGTGCTTCCAGCCCGACCTGCCCCTCCCGGCCAATGTCCAGGTGGAAGTCATCCGCATTGAGGTACCCACTGACCTGAGGAATGGGATGGGTCATGTGAGCATCTTGCTCCTTGCCACTGCACCTTACAGGGCTGCTGCATGAGGAGGGTTCCAGGGGCCCAAGGAACATCACCTCCTACCAGGATAGCTGTCTTGCTCTCAGCAGCTGGCTGTACCTGGCAGGAACAGAGGCTGATGGGGAGGTCCAGCTGGTGGCACCACATCTCCTGGAGGCCACAGATGGCCACCTGTCCCCTCATCTACCAGCCATGACCATGTCCTATCTTCTTTGATTAAAATTTACTGCTGAGCTTTGAAAATTTTTACATACATTAGAAGTAGGGCTGGTGAGATGGTTTGGCAGGTAAAAGTGCTTGCTGCCAAGCCTGACGACCTGAGTTTGATCACTGGAGTCCACATGGTAGAGAGAACCAACTCCCAAAAGTTGTCCTCTGCCTCTCCACATGTGTGTCATGGCCTGCACACGCATACACACACACACACACACACACACATACACACACACACACACGAGTGAATGAATGAATGAATGGAAAAAAATATTAAACCAGAGGTGAGCATTTCTTTGTTCATTCATTAACTCATTCATTCATTCATTCATTCATTCATTCATTCATTCATATCAACACATGTTCACTGACATGCCCCACCCCCAAGACTCTGGGGTATCTCAGGAATGAGGCTCAAAGCTCATAGGAAAAAGGGCCGTTAAGCCAGATCACAGGGACATCCTGAGGTGGGGGTGATGCAGAGTGCACCTTGGTTTCAGGGTTTCTCTGGGGGCCACACCATTTCTTCCCCTTTCCCCACTACAGAGCACCAGGACTGGCCTCAAGTCGGAAAAGGTGGTGGAACAGCTCACAGAATGCAGGTAAGGGCAGGCTGGGCTGTGGCTGGGCAGGGGTGCACTGGGGGGGTGCAGGGGTGTTCTAGGCGGGGCCAGGCCCTCATGTTACCTGCTGCCTTCAACTGGCTGCAGGGACCCCTCAGCCCTGTGTGCTGGATAGCTTTAGTGTCAACTTGACACACCTGGGTTGAGGGAGCCTCAATTGGGGAATTGCCTTCATTGCACTGGCCTGTGGCCATGTCTGTGGGGCACCTTCTTGATTGTTGAGTGATGTGGGAGGGCCCAGCCCACTGTGGGTGGTACCACCCTTGGGCAGGTGAGCCTGTGTTGCATAAGAAAGCAGGCTGAGCAGGGGCCAGGGGAGCAAGCCAGTAAGCAGCGATCCTCCATGGCCTGTCCTCCAGCTCCTGCCTCCAGGTTCCTGCCCTGAGTTCCTACCTTGGGCTCCCTGATGAACTGTGACCTGGGAGATGTGGGCTGAATAAACCCTTTCCTCCCCAAGTTAGCAGTGGCCAGAGTATTTTGTCAGAGCAATGGAGAGACAAACTAGGACACCATGACAGTTTGTCTCCATAAAGCAGTCCAAGCATTCTGACATGTGGGAGCCATTTGGCCCCCACTTTCTACACTATACTCTGCACCTCCCCTGCCTCAATTGCCCAGAGAAACGACCTGGAACCCTTGCCACCTGCTGGTTTGTCCCACCAGGCGAGGAGAGGGCCGCACACTTGTCTTTCATTCTCTTTACTTTTTGTCTCCTATGATCCCTCCTCTAGTGCACACAAGGACCAGTCTTCACGTAAGTAATTCAATAACTGAGAAGATCTTTCCATCTCTCCCCATCCAGCGTGCCGGAGGGGCTAACTGCTGGCTCACTCTGTGATTCTCTTGTGGTTTATTTTGACCCTATGGCAAGCTTGTTCAAGAATCTGCCCCTCCTGTCTGCCCAGCTCTGAGCTGCCTGTTTGGTCCTGTTCCCTTGGGGAGAGACCTACAGTCCATAAGCCAGGATGGAAAGGTGGTGATGGTGAGGGCCACAGACTCACCCATTAGCCATGTGCCCTTGGGTAGGTGCCTTAACCTGTCTGTGCCACAGTTCCTCCATCTATAAATTGGGTTAAATAGTGGCGCCCGCTTCTTAAAGTGGTGGTGAGGGTTAGAGGAGGTCATCTGTGGGCGTGTTTAACGTGGAAAGCTCTCGATGTGTGTCCAATAATGTGGCTGCTGCTCACATGATGATCAGCTCACCAGTCAGTGCACTGAGCTAACTCTTGCTTCTTTCATTTATCTGTTCCTTGGCCAGTTGGTCAGAATCAAAATGAGTCAACCATTCATCCATCCACTCATTTTTTACATCCTTCCAAATATCCATCTACCACCCATACTACCTTCTTATCTTTCCATCAGCCAGCTGTAGATATACCCAACACTTATCCATCCATCTAGCTATATATTCCCCACCAACTATCTATCCTTCCACCTAACCCTCTATATATGTACCCAACCATCTATCCATCCATTTCTCCATCCATCCACCCACCCACTCACCGATCCACCCATCCATCCATCTAGCTATATAACCCCCACCATATATCTACCTTTCCACCTAACTATCCGTCTATATATCTACCCAACCATCTATTCATCCATTTCTTCAGTCAGCCAGCCAGCTATACATCCACCCACACATGCATCTGCCCAACCAACCCATCCATCCATCATCCATCCATCCATCATCCATCCATCCATCATCCATCCA